CCTACAGCCTATTAAACATTATTCCACTCACATGACATGCAGGACTATTAATGATGGGCAAATGTGTTTGTGTATGTGTGTGCGTGGTGTTATATCACTCGAGCAACTGCACATTTAACAGCCACGCATCACAGTCCGCTGAACAACGCAACGGGTTGTGAATGAAATAAACTTAATTACAACATGACAGTCTTGCACGAAATATCATTAACGTTACTCTTTGTAGTCACGTAGGCGTGTGAATTACAGCGTGTCATTGCAAAGAATGCATGTAACGGGTACACTTGCGCTGTTTGTCCGCCATCTCGTTCAAATGAGACAGATGTAGGGGGCAGGTATTTATACGTCAGGGCCTCAAGCTGAAAAAGACTTCCTGTTAGGAAGCTCTCGTGTTACCTTACTCATCGCACCTAACAGATCCCTCCTAACTCCTAACACTAACTCCTTACTGGCAGGAATAAGAGACATGAGACGACCTTAAAGATGGCGGACCTTGAACGACTTCCGGTTAAAGTAAGGAGTTAGGAGTTAGCAGTATAAAATAACAGACTTGGGACGTACCCCCTGAGGAGTCCCACTGTGTTCTTTAGTTCAGTCACTTTAATCACAAACTCAGGAGAAAGTAAAGTCTTGTGGAGAATGCGGGCATCGATCCCGCTACCTCTCACATGCTAAGCGAGCGCTCTACCATTTGAGCTAATTCCCATGTGTGTGTGTGTGTGTGTGTGCGCGCGCGCAGTGTGTGTGGTGCGTTCAGTGACTCAGATGTGGTTCCAGTGAATGTCACAGCTGCAGTAAAAGCTGTCTTGTCAGTCAGACGGCTGATCAGCTGTTCATGGTTCTCTTCAAAGCTGTACTGTGGCTCTCTGAAGATGCGCTCTCTGGATCTGCCAGTAAGGCTCCATATCTCAACACCTGCCTGGAGCTGATTGGTTGGTTTCTGATCCCAGTTTAGTTTTGTAGCATGTTAACAGAGGATGAAGTTGAGATGTAGCAGTGTTCCTGTAGTTCAGAGCTCTTTAATGCAGCCATCAGTAAACTTTGGTGTAGACACATGTTGTTTTCACATGGAAACTGTATGTTAGATATCAGATGGCTGCTTTGGACGAGGTCTGGAGGATCTGAGCTGATTGTTTCACTGATAATGGAGCATGTTATCTTGTTGACATGTCACATTCAGGACAGACTAAAGAACCTGCGACGAGGATGGGATTCGAACCCACGCGTGCAGAGCACAATGGATTAGCAGTCCATCGCCTTAACCACTCGGCCACCTCGTCTGCTGGCTGCTGTTGTTTACAAAGTCTAATCCAGGTCACCTTCCAGGCCTGGAAAGTCTGGAAATGTGTGGAATGTAGAGTATGTATGACCATGCAGCATGGTAACATGATAAGCATTGGTAACTCAATTTTTGTTGCCATGGCAACACACAATCATACACAGGGGAATTAGCTCAAATGGTAGAGCGCTCGCTTAGCATGTGAGAGGTAGCGGGATCGATGCCCGCATTCTCCACAAGACTTTACTTTCTCCTGAGTTTGTGATTAAAGTGACTGAACTAAAGAACACAGTGGGACTCCTCAGGGTTGTTTTACTGATGGCTCTATTATGACAAATTCAGAGTTTTCGGTTCCAGAACAGCTGATCAGAATCAGTCCAATCAACTCTGAGTATGCTCAGCCTGAGAGAAGCGCGTTCACAGTGAACACCAAAAGACGTGGAGTGCAGATAACATGATATTCAGTGGCAGAAAGCAGAGTTAAAACCAGAGCCACTTATTTCATCCCATTCAGATAAATGATATAGTGTGAGGTCAAACAGTATCTTTCATACAGACACTCCTCCAGAGAGACATCCACACAGGCTCTAATCACCTTCTCCTTACACAACAGCCTCTGAATAAACTGGGCCTCAACCTCCACCACTTCATTCACTAAAGGACACGCCATGTTTCTACTTCCTGCTACACGCTCAGCGAGCGATCAGCCTCAGGCTCAGATGAAGCAGGTTTGCCTCACAGAGCAAGGTTCCATAGTAACTGACTCAGGGTTACGCTGAGCTGGCTTTGTGAAACAGAAAAGTCAGAGTTTCATCTCAGGCTCAGAGTTTTCACTGATCCTGCTCTCTGAAATAGAGCTCTGAACTACAGGAACACTGCTACATCTCATCTTCATCCTCTGTTAACATGCTACAAAACTTAACTGGGATCAGAAACAACACACAGCTGTAACTTTCTGTTTATCTGGTGGAAGACGCCCCACTGTGTGCTTTAATTCATTCACTTTAATCACAAATTCAGGAGATAATAAGACCCTATGGAGAGTGCAGGCATCGATCCCACTACCTCTCACATGCTCAGCGAGCGCTCTACCATTTGAGCTAATTCCCCTGTGAAAGCAATCACAGTATATAAAGACATGAAAAGACCCACAACCACTCACTGATGACATCAGACACCATTGTTAAAGGCTTTGGGCTTTATCAGGTTTTTCTTGCTACGATCCAACATCTTCATGCTGCAGTCGTCATCCTTTTTAAGTGTGCTGCCCAGTTGAGGTTTGTTCGCTAACGTTAGCACTCACAGGAAAAGACAAACTTTATTTTGCTCTGTAGTTAAACCACTCCACAGTCTGTGAGAACATCCACAGTACCTGTGCACAATATCATGACACACACGTGTTTAAATGTCTGACTGTTTTTTATAACTGACAACTTTAAACCTCAGTGTGCGTTGTGTCCTTCAGCTGGATGTACATTAGCTCGACGCTACGACTCTGTAGCCATGTGGTGCTGTGAGGCTGTATCGATGTTTAGCAGAAGACAAAAATGTCCACTGTCTCCTCTGCTCTTTGAACTAACTGGAAACTGAAATGTCACTTCCATCTGTGTCACTGCTGATGAGGAAATACAGCGAGTGCTGGACGGAGCAGTGAGTGACAACAACCCCACCCACATTTAAGAGGACTGTCTGAACAGACCGAGGGTCTAGGTACCATGTCTGAAGGCTTACTGCTGGTTCCACAGGTGCTTTACCAAAAGTTTTTTGTGGAAACGGGCTTTAGATTAGTGAAGTGTCTCTCCTGAACCCGGCTCGTCTCCCAGAGGACAGAGCGACCTCAGCAGAGGTCAAATGTTTTAACCTGTCTCCAAACTCTTTGGCTGATCTGTAGAAACGTTTTCTGTCACCTCTGAGGAGCGAAGGAGTCATTACAGCAGAAATCTGTCTGTCCTCACCTTTACTCTGCTCTGTCCTGCAGTCCTCCAGCAGGGGGCGTGATGTCTCCATGTCAGTGTGAACGTCTGAACCCTCGTGGGTCTGCAGGGAGGAGGAGAAGGAGGAGGAGTTTCGGGGGGTGGAGGTGATGATGTTCCTGACGTGTCGAGCCTTGCCGATGTACGGACTCTCAGCCACGGAGTCCACAGAGTCCACTTCCTGTTGAGAAAGACGAGTGTGGACACCTTGACACATGTTTGAATATTGTATTTGTGTTTGTTTGATAATCAAACCCCGTGTCAATGAAAGTGAACCAATCAATCAATATATCAACCAATCAATGACCTCAGCTGAATCAGACGGATTGTGATGAAGGCTTATATTTTCAAACCACACTCAGTGAAGCTCAACTGATCTGTTTGTTGGAGCTCAACAGAGCCTGAATATTACCTTCACTTTCAAAGACAACATGTCCCACAAAGGTTCACGTCATAGCAGTGTGTGTGTGTGTGTGTGTGTGTGTGTGTTACCTGCAGGCTGCCGGCGGGCAGGGGGCTCAGTTTGGTGTCGATCTTGTAGAAAGCCAGCTCCTGCTCCAGCTCATACAGTCTGTGAAAGGCTCGGGTCAACTCAACTGTCGTCTTCTCCAACTGGAGACACACACACACACAGGAGACTTTTACTGTGAAAGAATCTACAGGAAGTGCTTTAACCTTTTTATAAAACACAGCAAACACAAACTGAAAGACATATGAAACGCCATTTGTTTCTATTAGGGTGAAATTTAATATCTGAGAACATGAATGACTTCAGCACTGAGTCACTGACAGGAAATATAAACACACTGAACACTGCAGGTCAAAACACACACACACACACACTCCTCTGAGTGTGGAGCTACCTGGGGTCACACAGCAGGAGTCTGAGGGTCTGAGGAGCTAAGGATGATGGGAGATTCAAGGTTAATGTGATGTCAGAGTACCTGATAGACCACGCCCAGCAGAGAGACAGGGGGGCGGGGCTAGATGCACAGAGACAGGTGACAGAGGGAAGAAGAAGAGGCCACAGTGAAAGCAGGAGGTCACACATGTTACAGTTATTAGGACTGTGATGAGGTCAGCAGTGACGCAGCCTGACGACTGTCTGATTCTGATGTTGACATGTGACAGGTTAAAGGAGCGAACACACGCTGAATCTTCAGCCACCTGGAAAACGAGCAGTCGAGTGCTGAGTGCTACTTTTGTGCCTTTTCTGTGCCAGCTTTAAAGAGCGCTAAAACTAAAACTAAGACCCAAAGTTTTTGAAATGATTGTTGCTACTTCCTTCCAGCAAGTCTGAGCAGAAGGACACGACAGTAAAACATGACTTCTCTACGTTCCCTCCAGCAGCAGAGCCGGAGCCCAGTTTGTTTAGACTTGTGTTTGGACATGATGAAAAATCAAATCAGCCATTTGACGTTTTAATAGTTTTATATCGCCAGCTGACACTTACAAACATGGTTGCTGCGCCTTTTCATCGTTGCCAAGCAACCACCCCATCACCTCCTCACCCTCACCTAATGTGTAAATGAAAATGAAGGAGTTTCTGGTGTTTCAGTGAAACCTTTCTTCCTTAAATGATTTCAGTCTGTTGCTCATGATAAACGTCAGAGCCTGATTGGTCGGCAGTGTTTGTGACTCTACCTTCAGCAGAGAGGAAACGACTGAAGGAGAAGAAGAAGAAAACAGGACAGCTCTGGAGAACAGCTGCAGGAAACAACAGAGAAGAAGAAGAGAGACAGACAGGAGGACTTTAGAGGTCACACACTTTTTCTCTCAGGATGTCAGTCTGTCCAGCGCTGGATCAAACCTACAGTTATATACACGTAATAATCAGGGATGTTCCTCGTGACTGATTTCCCTGATATTTAAACAGAAGTTCAAACTATGACGAGTCGTACTACTGAACTTTTCCATGATTTTTAAGAACCTGTGACAAAACCTCTGAGACATTCACAACATAAAGCATAAACAGAAGCGTTTACTCCAAATGAAAAGTAATTAGCAACATTTTCCAATCTCTAATAGTTGGTTTTGTTCATATTCATATTCACAGGCTCTTCCTGAACATCAGTCTGCCTTAAAGCATGAGGGAAAACTGAAATGATTATACCACCGCTTTCTTAAACAATGAAAGCAATGCTGCAACATAAGAATGTAGCTTTACTCTTCTTTAGGCCCTGGAACTGGATGTGGAGGGTTATCTATGGAAGATTACTGTAACATGTTTATTGCAAAAAAATTGCCTGATTTTTCCAAAGCTTTCAGTCATGACCGTTGTAATATCATCTTAACAAATGATCCATCTTACTTCACGTGCTTCACAGAAAGCAACATGTGTGCTCAAACTTACAGGTGTATATTGTATAACTAACAGCTGTCGACTCTCGTCATATTTCTAGCCTGTTACATGATTCACGTCATGTTGACTTTGTCCCTTCTCGCTCACGTGATGAACAGGAAATTAATCCAAGGATTTCCCAAAAAGGTGTCAGCCTCTACCTGGCGTCAGAAGGCACCTTGCTCATTCAGCCTAGCAAGAAGACGTCCATCCAACGCCAATCTGTGTGAAGCTCAGACAGACGTTGCTTCCAGATTAAACGTCTACAGACTGCTGTGGTGTGTCACTGGTTCCATCCAGTGAGTCTGATGTTGCGTTCACACTGAGAGCGAATAAAACCATTTCAGTGAATTACATGTAAAGTCACTGTAAAGACGCGATTAGACGCAAATCCCACCGGGAATTTTTTCACAAATTACGCAAAATATGCAAATTAAGTGGCATGAATGAAGTGAGCAGCACAATTTCACATCATTTTGAGTTGAAAAACCTGAACTTCAGCGACTGATCTGTGCTGCGTTAGCCAATCAGCATTGAGATCCTCTGGGGATGTATGACACTGAGGACGTACCAGCAGAAGTTCATTCATAGATTCAGCATTTTCACATGTTTGAAGTGAGCCAACACAAAATGCTCTGGGGTCCAAACTCACAAGAGTAACACCAGACGAAAATTCGCTTCACGTTCTGTGTGAACACAAAATGAGATGGAGAGCTGCTGATAGTTTTCCTCTGAGTTTCTTGATAAGTTAAATCGAATTCTGGTTCTGACTAGGGAGGGCAGCAGTGTTTAATCGTCTAGTTGACTGATCGCACACAACCCTACTATACAGGTATAGTTCGTGTGTGTGTGTGTGTGTGTGTGTGTGTGTGTGTGTGGTACCAGCTGACTCTTGGTGTGTAGCTCTTCCTCCAGCAGTGTGTGTTGCTGTCGTTGTGTTTCCGTGCGAGCCGTTAGTGTTCGGTTTGTCTCCTCCTGCTGGTGGAGTCGAGTCACTGCAGCCTGCAGCTCTGATTGGCTGCTGTCCACCTCCCGCTGCAGACGCTCCAGCTCCTCTGATCACAAACAACAACAATAAACAAACCGTGTTTGTGTCTTTGTGATTTGAGTTTTTCGTGTGTTTTTGTTGTTATGAAATGTCGTACCGGTGCTGAACCGTTGGTGGGCGTGTCCTCTCTCCTCCTGGGTGACCAGCAGGTCGTCCAGCCTATCCAGAGTCCTGACGTGGTAGAGCAGGAAGAGGCGGGAGTGTGGCAGCGAGGAGGCGGGGTTTCCTGACACAGACAGCTCTGATATGCTGCTCAGAGAACGCAGTCTGGACACCTCGTACAGCTGATGAGACACAACTGAAGCTGTTTTCTGATCATCAATCAGTAAGTTCAGCTATTTGTCGATCAGTCTCAGGTTCTGGCTTCTCCAGAGTGACACGCACACACACACACACACACACACACACACACACACACACACACACACACACACACAGCCAGCCTGTACTCACAGAGGTGATGAGGTTGTGCTGCAGGTGGAGTGTGTGCAGTGAGTGCAGTTTCTTCCCGAGCCACGCAGGAACGTGGTCGATCCTGTTGTGGGACAGATTCAGATACTGCAGACTGGACATGAGCTCCAGTCCCTCGATCCTCCTGAACACACACACACACACACACACACACACACACACACACACACACAGTGTTCACACGTCAGCCAATTTAGGCTTTGCTCACAGTCCCTGGTGGTCTAGTGGTTAGGATTCGGCGCTCTCACCGCCGCGGCCCGGGTTTGATTCCCGGTCAGGGAACTCCTATTGCTGCATTTGAGGGAGCTATTGCTCTCCCCTGCCCCACACACTAAATTCGCCAATGTGTAAGATATAAATGGAATAAAATACCTTTCTCATACTGACCCAGAACCTTTTACCTAACCCAGAACCCTTTACCTAACCTAGAACCTTTCACCTGACCCAGAACCTTTCACCTAATCCAGAACCTTTCATCTCACCTAAAACCTGCAACGTGAGCCAGGACCATGAAAACATGGATGCTTCACACACAGCAGATCTATACAATCAGCAGTTTCAAGATTAGAGTCACCAATTCAGTATCTGACCAAATGTCTCCCCTTCTGTTCCTGAGATATGACGTTAAAACATGATGATGTCACAGTCAAGCTGACCTTTGACCTTTGACCTTCATTATTTTATCCTGTTAGACATTTGTGTTTTGTCATAATTAATGTGTCAATTCTTCAGTTATGGACAAAAACATGTTTTGTGAGGTCACACTGACCTTTGACCTTCGACCACAAAATTGACCAGTGAAACAGAAATCATTTTTCAATCCTGTTTGAATTGTGCTGTGAATTACACATATTATTTTTGTCAATGTAAAAGATATTTTTGAAAGTTATGGAAAAACTTTTCAGTCTGCAGTGATGTGTTTGTTCAAGGTGTGCAGGAAAATGTCTCACAGATCCTGAAGATAAAGGTGATGAAGGTTAATACCTTCTGTGTGTGTGTGTGTGTGTGTGTGTGTGTGTGTGTGAGAGAGAGTGTCTCACTGGATGTTGTTGTGTGCCAGCTGCAGCTCTCTGAGCTGAGTCAAAGCACTCAGTCTCTCCATCCTCTGGATCAGGTTATTGTTCAGGTTTAAAACCTGCAGACGCTGACAGCCGTGGAGGTTCTCTATGAACTGAAACACACACACACACACACACAGATTAAAACTCAGCTCACACAGAGGTAACAACAGCAGGGGTAGAGGAAGTATCTAAATCTAAATCTATAAGCTCTGTCTAAATCTGTACTGAAGTACAGCACTGCAGTAAATGTAATTAGTTACATTACATCACTGAGACGGAGCAGTAGCAGTATTAGTTCTAGAGGTAGCCGTGGACACTGAGCTGCAGCAGTAGCAGGACTAGATGGACAGGTAGCTGTGGACACTGAGCTGCAGCAGTAGCAGGACTAGATGGACAGGTAGCTGTGGACACTGAGCTGCAGCAGTAGCAGGACTAGATGGACAGGTAGCTGTGGACACTGGGCTGCAGCAGTAGCAGGACTAGATGGACAGGTAGCTGTGGACACTGGGCTGCAGCAGTAGCAGGACTAGATGGACAGGTAGCTGTGGACACTGGGCTGCAGCAGTAGCAGGACTAGATGGACAGGTAGCTGTGGACACTGAGCTGCAGCAGTAGCAGGACTAGATGGACAGGTAGCTGTGGACACTGAGCTGCAGCAGTAGCAGTAATATCATGAGTAATATCAGCAGTAACACCTGTTATGTAGTATGTGTAATATCAGTTTGTCCTGACCTTGATCTGTTTGTCTCCCGCTGAGGACAGATTGAGGGAACGAACCAGAGACAGAGACTGACAGCCTGTCAGCTTCAACAACAACTCCTCCGTTATGCACCTGATACCTGAGAGAAAGAGAAAGAGGAAGAGGAGTGATTGAAAACTGTACCATTATGTGAGTAATAATGTCCTGTTAAAGCTTCAAGGTTTCCTCCTCCACCTCCTCCTTTCTGCTGGGACTCTGCACCTCCTCCTGTCTCCCTCTGCTCCTCCATCTCTGGAGCACACCGCTGGACAGGCTGAGGACAGAAAGAGGACAGGATGAGGACAGGCTGAGGACAGGATGAGGACAGACAGGATTGAAAGAACTGTTTTCATTTGGGGGACATATGAGTGTGGTGACATTAGTTATTAAAACACATCAAATCTGTAGTACAACATGAGGTGCATGGAGTGCTGCTGGGTGTAGAAAAAGTGTGCTTCTGGTGCTCTTCGGTGTGGGGATCAAAAAAATGATAGGAAATGTGAAATGTGACAATGTCGACATTTTTAATCAGAACAAAGCCATGACTTAATAAAGGCTTTTTATTTTTCTACTCCCTGAGTGCCTCGGTTTTTTGAATTTTCTTCCTAACATCAAATCTGTATTTTAAATCAATGAGATGTAAAAACTGTGGAGAAAAAAAGTAAACATTAACATGTAGATGTACACTACTGACGTCATGTACAAGTTTATAAATTGATTTGTTATATTTAGGGATGCACCGATCAGATATCTGGATCGAATATCGGGCCCTATATCATCAAAATAGATGGATCGGGTATCAGAAAATGCGACCTATACCTGAGTCGATTTTTCCCTTTGAATCTATTGTGACGTGAGCTACGTCACACGTCATGGAGTGAAGGAGAGAATCTGCTGTGTGAAGGTATTTCACACTATTTCAACTGCTGCTGCACAATTGTTTATTTTTGTTAAAAATAAATAGTTTATCATTGCACTAATCTGTTTCATCGTGTGTCATTTTATCTTAGGAAAGAACTGTGTCATCATCAATGCCTGATGCCTCTCGTCTTTACTGTTCTACATGTAAAGGTATATAGCTTTTAGCTCAACCATGGTATCTGATCGGTATCGGGTATCAGCTGATACTCAATGCCACAGCATCGGGATCGGAACTGAAAAAGCTGGATCGGTGCATCTCTAGTTTTGTTTTGATTGTTGATGTAAAGCTATTTATTGTATAGTTATTAAAGAGTTCACCACTGTGAATCCGCTTTTACGTCTGGAACCTTCCGTCTACACCGGGCTTGAGATGCGCCCTCTTTGAGGACTTGGCTCAGACTCCAGAGTTACTCTCTCACCCTGAGGCGTCCTTGAGGAATCTGACCCTGTTTGACTCAGTGGTGGGAACCTCCTGCAACCGTGTGCCTTTGCTGATGTCAGCCCCCTCGGCAGGATTCAAGCCCTGGGCCTTCCACATGGAGGACAGGTGCTCTAACCACGACACTACACTAGGAAGGCCCCCCCACTACAGTAGGGAGGGCATGCTTACATGTTTCGGTGATGAAATAATGGATTGTATTAAAACGTGTGTACATGTTAATAACACACATTTTGTGTGACAGCCACTTCAGCATATGGAAGTGCTTTGTTGTTTTATATTTCTAATTAAAAATGTGTCACGGTAATGAATTTATTTCCTCACAGTGTCACTAACATGTGCACATGGATAATACATGTACACTGAATGGTGAAATCAGATCCTGTTTCATATACAGCAGAAACAATATGTGTATAAACTGAGCTGTAGTTTTTGCTTGGAGTTGGACCATGTTCATGAGAATCAAACCACAAATGTCTCAACTTTGTACTAAAGTCCAGGACTTGAGTAAAAATATACATGCAGTAAAAGTACACTATTTACCTCTGAGATGGAGTGGAGTATACAGTAGTATGAAATAAATTTACCTCTGAGCTGGAGTATAGGCTACAGTAGCATAAAATAGAAATACTCAAGTAATGTACAAGTACCTCAAATTTGAACTTAAGTCCAGTATTTGAGTAAATGTACATGTAGTTAAAGAGTATATACTAATATGAAATAAAAATACTTAAATGTTGTACCAGTACCTCAGCTTTGTTCTTCAGTACAGTACTTGAGAGTAAAAGTACTCAGTTACATTCCACCACTGCTGATATGAGTTACACTCAGTGCACCAGGTCAGAGAAGTTCCTGATGAGCTCTCAGTAAACTGTGAACACCCAAACACTTAGCGGCTAGTTAAAACTAGCGGCTAATTCAAACTAGCTAACTTAACTCGTTAGTTAAACTAAACCAGTCTTTAAGGGGTTAACCGGTGGCTGTCACTCCAACACACCAACACATAACCAGTACAGTGTCGTACTGGTCAGACTGGGATAGTTCACTCACACTGACTGGCTGTAGTCCTCGGTGTTGTTAGCTTTAAGCTAGTTAGTAAAGTTAACTGATAATTAGCTTTAGCCTGGTTAGCTTGGTTACTGTTCGGTCACCATAGAAACCGACAGGACGAGCTAACGTTAACTGGCGCTAACTTTAAACTGCGTTAGCTAACAGCTCCGGTCAGACCGGCTCCTCTACCGCAATGAACCCGGTGACCGACACAGACTGACGGTTACCGGTAACTTTACCTTTGCTAACGTTAGCCAGGTTGGGTTAGTTAATCCTCGGTCTCCATGGAAACCTGCTGATACACACCGGGTTAAATGACGTCAGTTTGTGTCGCTGACTCAGAGGGAAAACAAACATCTGTCCGAACCGGAAACACTTCGAGAGTTTGTTTAATGGCAGAAACACAAATATTAAAGTTCCCGTTAAAAGCCGTCACAGCTGTTCACCGAGAGCACGAGCTGCAGGTGGATGCTGCCTTCAAGGTCTCCGCTAAAAGTCGGATTCTTCCCTTTCAAAGCCTGAACTCCTCAGATAAGGGACTGTTCTTTACTTACCAGAGGAGGGCGGCTGAGTGTGAGCCTCCCTGAGTGACAGGAGGAAGATCCATGAGCCTCCCTCCTCCATAAATGAGTTAGTAGATCTTTAAAACTTTGACGTTTGAAAGTTATAAATTTGAAGATAAAATCCTGGAGGTGAAAAAAGCCTCAGTTTTTCACTCTTGTCGTTCACGATGGTTTATTCAAGCAAAAGGTTTATTTTTGGACGAATTTTTGATGAGACATAAACTGATTTTAAGTGTTTGCACACGATGTGTCCAAGGACCAACGGAAATTTGAAAATCCAGCTATAATTTGTATTTTTACAGGTCATGATAAATGGTGTAAGTTTGTAATTTTAAAAACAGCTGTAATTTATCACCAAAAATTATTTCCAAAAATTAAAATTTATTGCCAAAATTTAGAAGGCATATCTTTTTTAAAAAACAATCTGCAGTAAAATAAATACAAAATACGACCATTTAAATCTGTATGCCCCTCCCTAACCCAAAATAAAAAACATGAATCCCTCACCAGTGCTTGACAGTTATTTGACACACCTCCCCTTTTCGCACCACCCCCCTCATAAATAACACATAGTCCCTAAACCCAGGGGCAGGTTTGGAGCCCTGTGTTCTTTAAAAGATACCAAAATTTACCGCCAAAAATTATTGCCAAAATTTGGAAGACATGTTTGTTTTCTTTAAAAGTTGTCGGTAAAATTAATACAAAATACAGCCATTTAAATTTGTATGCCCCTCCCCTTAGCTGAAAAAAAAGCCCCTCCCAGTGCTGTGAGGGTCCAAAGGACAGAGGGATGCTGTATGCTGTAAGGCCTCTGAGGCAAACTGTGATTTGTGATATTGGGCTTTATAAATAACAATTGAATTGTACTGAATTGCTTGAAAATATCTGACATGCCCCCTATAAGTAATGAACAGTCCCTAAGATAAGACAAGACAAGACAAGACAAGATAACACAGATCAATGTTATTAATTTTATTGTTTGTTTTTTTAACAGATTCCATTGTTTTTTAAATTCAGACCTGCGTTTACAAGCAGCATCTAGATTCCTAAAATCTGCCAAACAATCTGCAGCCACAGACTCTGTACAGGTGATAATGTAGAGCAGTAATAGTGCAGTAATCTTCTGACATATCACTGAGAGGAAGTTTAAAGTAGCATGAAGCAAAAAATAAAACTAATTTTCCATTTTCCATGAGCGTGTGTTTGGATCAGCTGTCTGCAGGTGACATCTTGAAGCAGCAGAATACTTATGGACCTTATTTATGATGTTTTACACCAGACAAACCACCTCCAGGATAGAATGCCCCCAGTGTTCCCAGTGTGATGTATCAGAGACACACAGTGAATTTATTTATCTTTTTATTGTCAGATTATGACATGGAGACACAATTTAGAAAAGCAGGAATACAATCTTTTACATTCAAACTGTGAGATAACAAAGCTCCCCGAGCTAACGACAGTCTGGCGTGCTGCGTTACGATGCGTCGGGGCAGCCGGCTAACTGCAGGTCCAGAGAGAAGTCATCCAGGTTAGAAATGTAGTCCAAACACTCGGGAGTATCACAGTCTGTTGGCCACAGCTCCACCAGCGCCTCCGAGTCCAGAGGAAGACGATACCTGCAGGACAGAAGGCAGCAGGTCAGAGTCACAGGAAGAAGAAGAGGAAGTACAGGTGAGAGACAGCTGGACAGACACTGACTTGATGCTCTGGCCGAGTTTGACCTGTGACCCGCTGGCTCCCATCACCAGGTACTGTTTGTTGTTCTGGATATCCACAGCGCTGCAGGTCACCTTCTTTACCAGCTCCACCTCTGTCCCTGAACTCACCGTCTCAAACTCTGCAGGAGATGAGAGGAGATGTGATGTCATGATGCGCATCACAAACAGGAAGTAACTTGATGAAGGTAACAGAAGGTGAGGTGAGGCTGACAAACAACTACTCTGAATTTCTTACCAATAAAATCCAAAACAATCTGTAGATTTTGAGGCTTTCAATTCAATTGTTTCCTTTAATAGCAGAGATCTGAACTCGTGAATATTCCTGTGTTCAAAGATAAATGTTTTTCTTTTTGTTGTTTTGGTTTTATTTTTAAAGGAATAATATTTATTTAACCCTTTGAAGCCTGAGCTAAGTGGCTTGGTTTTTTTGAAAAAACATGGAAAGAAGGCAACGAGCAACGAAAGAAGAAATGACCAAAAAAATTGCAAAAAAATAAGATTAGTTTAAAAAAAAAAAAGAAAATAAAGATTAAAAATATGAACAAGGATATGACCTGGAAATGTGTTTTAAAATATAATAACTTTGTAACTAATAAATCATTTTAAAATGTAATAATAATAATAATAATAATAATAATAACAAATATGCTTTTTCCCCACCTTTTTTTCTTTTTTCCCTTAAAAAAATATTATATTATATTATTATATTATTATTTTAACAGGTTGTGGGACATTTCTTACCAAGTTGCTCGTTGCCTTTTTCCCATGTTTATGAAAGAAATCGCACCAGAGTTCAAAGGGTTAAATACTAATGAGGATATATACAGTAAATATCCTCACAAAGGTAAACCCATCTGTCATGGTTTACTTTTTTCTTTGGTTAGTAACTATCTAAAACAAACTAATATGCTTTTTCTATATAAGCTATAAAATCTGTCAAAATAATGTGTTCATTTCAATTAATTAATCACAGAAAGAAAAATTAACACTGATTAATGGCGTTCGCAATTAGTGACTGTTTTTCCTCTGTTCTTTGAGGGCATCACACACAAGTGGTGTCAGATCCAGAGCACCTGGGCCGAGTGCTCCTGGGGAATAAATGCCCAGCGCATGTGCTGCTCTGAATCTCTCTTCAGTTGGACTAAACGCCCTCTGGTGTCGACACACTTTGGCCTTTGTTTGGCTTCACAACACCTCACTCTTCACTATGTCCACTCACATCTACAGTCAGGTCCATAATTATTTGGACAATGATACAGTTGTCATCATTTTGGCTCTGTACACCACCACAATGGGTTTTAAATGAAACAATGAATACCTGCTTAAAGTGCAGACTCTCAGCTTTCATTTAAGGCTTTTTTCAAAAATGTAGTATGAACCGTGTAGGAATTACAACCATTTCTTCACACAGTCCCCCGACTTTAAGGGCTCATAAGTATTTGGACAAACTAACATAATCATCAATTAAACAGTCAGTTTTAATACTTGGTTGCAAATCCTTTACAGTCAATGACTGCCTGAAGTGTTGGACACATAGGCATCATCAGATGCTGGGTTTCTTCCCTGGTGATGCTCTGCCAGCCCTTTACTGCAGCCGTCTGCACTTCCTGCTTGTGTTTTGGGTGTTTTGCCCTCAGTTTTGGCTTCAGCAAGAGAAACACATGCTCAGTTGGATTCAGGTCAGATGATATGACTTGGCCATTGCAGAACATTCCACTTCTTTGCCTTAAAAATGTCTTTGGTTGCTTTTGCATTATGCTTCAGGTCAATGTCCATCTGCACTGTGAAGCATCGTCCAATGAGTTTTGAAGCATTTGGTTGAATCTGAGCAGATAATGGTGCCCCAAACACTTCAGCTTTCATCCTGCTGCTCTTGTCAGCAGTCACATCATCAATAAATACAAGAGAACCAGTTCCACTGGCAGCCATACATGGCCATGACATAACAGTACCTCCACCATGCTTCACTGATGAGGTGGTGTGCTTTGGATCATGAGCAGTTCCTTCCCTTCTTCCTTCTCTTGTCTTCCCATCATTCTGGTAGTTGATCTTTGTTTTATCTGTCCATAGTATGCTGTTCCACAACTGTACAGGCTTTTTAGATGGTTTTTGACAAACTCTAATCTGGCCTTCCATTTTTAAGGCTAACCAATGGTTTGCATCTTGTGATAAACCCTCTGTATTTATTCTAGTGAAGTCTTGTCTTGCTTACAAGAGCAGCAGGATGAAAGCTGAAGTGTTTGGGGCACCATTATCTGCTCAGATTCAACCAAATGCTTCAAAACTCATTGGACGATGCTTCACAGTGCAGTTGGACATTGACCTGAAGCATATTGCAAAAGCAACCAAAGACATTTTTAAGGCAAAGAAGTGGAATGTTCTGCAATGGCCAAGTCATATCATCTGACCTGAATCCAACTGAGCATGTGTTTCTCTTGCTGAAGCCAAAACTGAGGGCAAAACACCCAAAACACAAGCAGGAAGTGCAGACGGCTGCAGTAAAGGGCTGGCAGAGCATCACCAGGGAAGAAACCCAGCATCTGATGATGCCTATGTGTCCAACACTTCAGGCAGTCATTGACTGTAAAGGATTTGCAACCAAGTATTAAAACTGACTGTTTAATTGATGATTATGTTAGTTTGTCCAAATACTTATGAGCCCTTAAAGTCGGGGGACTGTGTGAAGAAATGGTTGTAATTCCTACACGGTTCATACTACATTTTTGAAAAAAGCCTTAAATGAAAGCTGAGAGTCTGCACTTTAAGCAGGTATTCATTGTTTCATTTAAAACCCATTGTGGTGGTGTACAGAGCCAAAATGACAACAACTGTATCATTGTCCAAATAATTATGGACCTGACTGTATATCACTGAATCCCTGACGGGCCACACTCCAATAGTTTGGTGCTTTAAAATGAAGATCATCCTCTGCAGTATTTGTCACGGCCGAGGAGCTGGGTTATGACACACTGCACTGAATTTGAAAGTTTTGTCAGCATCTTTAAATCATTCTGTGACACTTACACCGTTTGAATAAATCACTTCCTCTACATGACGTCTCTCATTTCTCTCTACAGGCGCTAAAAACTGACTATGTGTGTTCATGAAGGCGGGATGAGAAAAATACAAAGTGATGAAGGTTCAGTAGTCGAAAACTTGAATCTGCTTTTACCCCT